TTATAAATCGGAAATAGCATACTGAGCCAATAATCTATAAATACGCTACGGTAGTTCGCTTATTGTCGTAAACCTGAAATCTGGAAATTACAACACATCACAAACGCCTCAATGCTGACATGACTCCCAATAATCTGTTTAGCTAACATGTAATGGCACTGCGTTGACATCTCTCAAAGACTGACAGCAGCCGACACCAGTCGTGTTAACACTCCGGTTATTTAAAGGATTACTAAATTACTAACAGATAAACACATCCGGGACAGTGAGGCACTATAAGTCATTTGCGAACACCAAAGCTACTTAAACAGTGTCCGTCATTAAGCTCGCTGCTAGCTACACAACAGGAAGCTGTCAGCCTGACAGAAGATGCTAACGATCAATCCCCTCATCTCCGTCCTGTATCTACGTGACATTCAAACTATTATTTCATGACGCTCACTCTTACCGTACGAGACTTCAGCTGTTAACGGCCTGCATGTCGTGTTGGATGAAGCGACGTTAGCTCGCCTGTGTTAGCTTTGCTAACTACTTTCATGGATGTATTAAGGAGAGCAGCTACTTTGCTACAGGTTATTCATCTTCCTCTTCTTTCGATTTAATGGCAGCTTGCATCCTGAATGTTGCACTACTGCCCTCTTCTGGTGTCAGATACCTCATACAGTGTCCAGTTTCTCAGATATTTGATCATGCTGTTCTTATTTGGAGGCTGACCAAGCATCTTCTTACTTTTCAACTTTCTACACTCCATTATTATCTGAACCTCTGCTCAGTGGTTGAAGAAGTCTTCATATATCAAGCAATACCACAGTCTAAAATAGTATGTTATAACTAAAGGCCCTGCAATAGAATGTGTACTTAAATAAAGATAATGTACTTGTAGTAATATTCCACTTCTGCTTTACCCAAATATTGTACTTTTTCCATGATGTCTTTCTCTTCTATACGTACTTCACAAAGTGTTCACAATCATCAGTTAGAAGCTACCCATACTGTGAAAGTGTGCTTTTCATCAACTTTCTCACAATACTCCAGTTATAAAGTTATTCAGTGTCCCAGTTAGTACTTACATACTTTAACATAAGAAAGGTCTTTGAAAATGCAGGACTTGGACATGTATACGAGTACTTTAAGCGAGGTTAGTACTTTTGCCTAAATGAATAAATAAAGTGCATACCTCTTCCACTACTTCTGTTGATTAATTTTCTCCTCGGAATTAAAAAGGTATAATAAAAATGTTAACTTGTTTAACACATATTTGACAGTCTTAAATTACCATTTCATTTGTATTGACTAACTATTCCTGAAATGGTGAACTAGAGTTTAATTTGATCAACGACCGATCTTCTGCCTTTGCAAGGCTTCCCGTTGTACTCACCCCATTTGACAGTCAAGAGTACAATTGTGTGGAATACATATTCATATTGTGCGGTTATATTCTCTAATTTGCTAATCATAAAGGCCAACTATTATATTATTGAATGTAAATTCAAAACCATATCAATGGTGCAATACTATTAATATGACAGGAGAGATGTTAATATTCAGTTTTAAAAGTATTCGCAATGTGCAATTAAAAAAATACGTTATTTCGTTCTCATTTTATTAAAAACAGAATTTACGATCTACTTTTGCTACCAATAAAAAGAACCAAAATACATTTTAAACCTTTTGACAAACATATCTTGCCTTGTTCATTGCTAATGAACCCGTTACAGTACTCATTCCACAAAATATGCAAAAGGCGTCATTAACCTAAACAAAAGCATTTAAAAGTGTTCCATAAAAAAGTATGTTCTCATCATAAGATAATTCCTCTGAGTTACTCTTTACCCTCGCAAGTAAGCAACAAAGAAAACATCGATCTAATTTGCCTTAATTTTATTAGACAAATCTTTACTACAACACTACAGATTGTATGAAGTAGGCATGAAATAGGAGCAGTTACTTTACTTAAAACATCTTATGTGTATGTATGTGTCAGTGTGTGTTTGCGCTAAACATAATTCGCTCTTCCCCCAGACTCATTTGGTGATGTTATTTGCATTCATACTTTTCCCACTCCCACTAAGCACAAGGTAAGGGGTTTTCTGAGATTTCTGCTTCTCCTGAAGCAACGCCACCGTCCCCAGAGGCGTGTCACTGCTGCTCATCTTCTTCAGCAGGGCTTCTTCCTCCAGCTTTTTCATCCTCCTCTCGGTCTTCATTTTTCCAGACCCTTTCCCGTGGAATCGATGTGAAAGCTGCCTGAAAGCTTCTTTTGGAGTGAGTCTCCGCCCAGATTCATCCACATACTCAATCTTGACCTCAGGCTGATAGGCGTCTTTATCCTTGAAATCTTGAGTGAAGCCTCTGTATTCTTCTCTGCGACTGTATTTGTCATCAAAGCCCACCTTGTCCTCAATGCAGTAGTTGTCATTTGGCAAGGCGCCTTTAGTGGCTCTGACGCGGGACATCTTCTGCATTTCAGTGTCCAATAGACCTTTGTTTTTGCACAGGTGCAACGCAGCAGCAAGCCCCGAGCTGACAATGGGCTCCTCGTCCAAAATGGTGGCAGAGGCAGTGGAGAAGTCTGGCGCTTTCTGCTCCTCATCCAAATTTACTGTGCTCCATCCAATATTCTCATCCATGTCCGAGTCTGGATCTCCAGCGTCATCTTTCTCTTCCTTCTCCTCAAAGTCAATAATTTCCTCTTGGTCTTCTCTGTTGCCCGAGAGCCCATATGTTGGAATATCACCTAGTGTTCTGCAAAACTCTGAGATGTCGTTGAAAACAATGTTATTCTTCATCTCAGGATCTTCGTCGGGACTGGCTTTATCAAGCTCTTTAATCTTCTCAGCCACCTTCTCCCCAGAGTCTTTGAGAAGCTGCTTTTGCCTCAGCTTCCTCCCTTTCTCCAGTTGTTTCTGCAGCTCCTGCTCGGCCTCATCCTCCTCAATTACAGCAGGCTCTGGAGGTGTGAAGTCATCATCATCACTAATGTCCATTTCGGCCATTCGAACGTCATCAGACAACAGGGGGATATCATGGGACAGTTTGACCAGCTCCACCGGCTTTACTTCCTCACTCCCTTCTTCCAGCTGTCTGCGGCCGCGACCACGGGCCCTGGAGCCAAAGTCAGTGCTGCGGGTGTCGACAGCAAGCTCCTCTGCAACGGTCAGCTTGTCCTTCTTCCTGATCTTTCGCACACGCTTTTTTGTCTTTTTAAAGCCTGTCATTTCCTGAAGTGTGTAATACTCCGAGGCAATAGAGAGAGCAGGCATCTCCAAAGACTGGGCCTGGTCTCGTAGAGCTTCTCTCATGGCCTGAATCTCCCGCTCTCGCTCCCCGTCAGCAAAGCCTCCTGTATTCAGCCGGAAACTCTTTTTCTTTTCACCCTCAATTTCCTCATCATACTTTGACAGTACAGTTTTGGGCTTGAACGTGACCATGTCATCCACACTCTCATCTTCTGCATAGGGCTTGTATTCAGGCTTCTTCTTTTTTAACTCCACATTCTTCTCTGCTCTTTCCCTGTCGATAAGATTAACATTTACAAGCACATCTTCCTCCTCTACGAGCACACCTTTGTCTTGTAGAGTCAGGATGATAGTCTGGCCCTCATTGAAGGAATCCACCTTGTGCTGCACTTTGAGTCCCTTTAGATCTTTAGCTGTGTAGGCCTCTTTTTTGCGATGTGCAAACTCCTCCTCCACCAGACTGCTGACACCAAACTCCTCATCCATCTCTTGCAGAACTTTGGCTCTTTTCTCTGCCATTTCTTTCTCTTTTGCCATCAGTCTGCTTCTCTCTACCCAGGCAGTGGTGTCATCCAGCCAGTCCTCCTCGGCTATGGGCTTGACTTTTCCCAGTTTCAGATTCTGGATGCGTTTTTCTTTCATAGCAGCAAGCTTCTCTCTCATATCTTTCTGCTTCTTGATGAGAACAGGGTTGATGGTCTCTGCCACCTTTGGATCTTCTTTGGTGCCGAGCTCCTTCTTTTCTACCTCTAATTCCAAAGGCTTCAACCCCAGCTTGGCTCTGAGTTTGTTTGTCTCCTCGATGCTGAGAGACGCATCTCCGCTTGCAGACTGAGGTGCAATTTCTGCCTTGCTTCCTTCATACCCAAGATCAACTTTCTCCTTCTTCACCCGTGGCTCCCCGGTGCTCCTCTCACCTTTGCTACGGCCCTCTCGCCCGCTTCTTTCCCGGGACCTGGAGCGTTTTCGTTTATCTTTATCCCTTGTCCCATCTCGTTCTGTAGCGTCTCGGTCCTTATGACGATGTTTCTTATGTTCACGACGGCGTTCTTCTGTATCCTTGTCGCGGCTCTTCTCCTTGTGTTTCTTAGATGACCCCATTATTTCCTTCGAAGATTACAGCAGTTGTTAAAAACGAAGCTGTTGTGGAGGAAAAAAACGTGTTAGACGTTGCTCCTTCGATCACAAGCTTACATTAGCTTTGCATGCTAAGTGGCTAACCGACGACACAACTCACTCAGTACGGGTGAAAAAATAAAACCTCACGTTCAAAATCCAATATCAACCAACAAAGAGTAGGAATGTGGAAAAAATACCCAGCCAGCTGTGTCGTCTTCTTCACACCAGTTTAACCACTCCACACCACGGCCAGACATACAACTTTATACATCGTCAAACAAACACCGACAGTGTTTCTGTTTCCGGCACTTCCTGTGGTGGACGGCTCGCTACAAACGAATGTTTACCGCCATCTGCTGTATGGGAGTGTTTATATCAGGCCAGGATCACATCCATGAGTTGATGTTGCTGCGTTTTGGGACCGATAAGACGTTGTTATTTATCAGTTGTCTTTAACAACAATGAGAGATCATCTGTAAAACCGTTACTGCAATATATGAAGTGCTTGGCACCGACATCTTCTTCTCTTTCTCTGCATGGTAATGGTGACATTCCTTATCCTACACTGTAAGCTAACTTAGCAAGCGCAGTTTTAAATAACATGACTAAAATGCCAGTATTTTAACCTGCTGCGTTTGTCGTTAGCTAATGTTAGTGTCATTTAGTGTTGACAGTTTGCAAACATCTAGTTTGGAGCGATAACATAATTATCAGCTCGAAGTCTAGCTCTGCTACGCGAGCTAAGATGTTTGTTTGCTTAAACTTTTATCGAGACATTTAAAGTTAGCTCAGGTCTGCAGTGATGCTAGCTAGCATTAGCGAGGTACCTCAGCAAGCTTGGCAACTTTCGCTGCTCGTTAGCATAAGGTATTGTGATTGTTTTGCCGACACATATAACGTGTTGTGGTGTTAAAGATTCGACGCAACGCTAAGCAGCGGGTTAGCTGCTGCACATCGGGGTTATTGCGTGTTGCCATGGCAATTGTGAGACAGAAGTAGGTCACATATGTTAAGCTAGTAAAGTTTCTCTCAAGATAACAAGCTACGTACACTCGCACAGTCTTAACGTTTGGTTAAGCTAGGTTAACTGCAAGTGCTTGAATGGTGATTGATACACTTTCTGTAAGCTAACATTAGCTGGTGTCACTGTGGGGAGCAGTGACAGAGAGCTCGCGCTGCTTATTGTTTTTCCCCGGGAATTGGAGCGGGCCACATACAAAACCCACCAACGGCTGCTAACGGCAACGGACATCTCATAGAGATAGCTTCAAACAGTTAGTTAGCTATATGGTAATAGCTACATGAATGCGTCAAAGTATTGAGGTTTTCAAGCTGGTCATGATTTAAGTTTAACTTGGCGTTAACCGCAAAACCATCTTCTTACGTATGGTGAGTAACATTCATGTGTAGTCACTAATAGCCTACTAGCGTTATTGTTGCCATTACAACATTTTAATTACAGTTAAATGTTCTGTTGTTTTTAGGCCCCAACTTTAAGTTAACAGTGATCGATATGAACCAAAATCAGTCCGTCAGTTGGCTAATCATAAGTTAAGATTGTTTGACCCTCCCATAATTCCCTAAATGCCTTTTCTTGTTTGTTCTTTAATGTAGGTTAAAAGTATGTAACTTGGTTGTTGTTCTTGTTCTGTGGTCCCATGCAGTGATCAGTATCTCTTTAGTTGTGAATTCCAGCAAGCTTTTTCCATGACGGTGACATATCTTTCTCCTGCTATGTTTTTAATGTAGACTTGTATACCTCGCCTTTTGTTCTTTGTGGTGACCAATATACATTTTGGTGTGAATTCCAGCAAGCTTTAAGTGGGTGACATGGCAACAGGAGGCACTCCTTTTGATGACAGTGCAGAAGAGCTGCACGACTGGACTATAACCAATGGCAGTCTGGAAGATAGACTCAACAACCTGGTAAGACAGAACCTAAAATCAATGTTGCTCTATCTTGTTCCTATCATGGCTTATTAATAGGGATGCACGATATTGGTTTTTTGAAACCGATACCGATAACTTCCTGCTTCTCAAGACCGATACCGATAATAATATAATATATATATTAAATGTACCCGTAGTTTTTGCACACCTGGTGGTAAAAAAGACTAGTAGTGAGCAAATGACATGAGCATTACTACTATGAACAAAACTAACCCTGGGGTCGTCTCTGGCAAACTTCTTGCCTTTTCAAAAGCCTCGTCGATAGGTAAAAGCCCCGGTGCCTTTGCAGCTGGCTTTGGATTCGCCGCTAGTTTAGCAGCGCAGGCGTCTTCGTACGCTTTTAACACACCATCGTAGCGATGGCGATGTTTCAGGTGACTAATCAGGTTGGAAGTATTATAGCTCGTTGCCTTTTTCCCTCCTCGTGGAACTTCTGCATTGCATTTGTTAATACAAATAGCAAGCGAACTATCTAACTCTGAAACTTTGAAATAGTCCCATACTACCGGCGACATGTTTGTTTACTGTACTGGCTTCACGGCCTTACACCATTTACGTCACAGCCAGGCATGTGTTAGGGAGCGCTGGATTTGTGAAAAACTCCCCTCTTCCTAAACCACGAATACCACAGTACTGGCAAAACGGGAGGAGCCGAGGAAAAAACAAGCGCCCCTCATTCCAATCCACCCACACCGCAGTATTTTTTCTTTTTTTTACCCAAAAAATATATTGTATATTATCGGGGCTATTAATACTTTTATCGGGTTTATCGGGATGACGTCATAATTCCTCATATTGGACCGCTAATTATCGGGCCGATAATTATCGTGCACCACTACTTATTAATGTAATCGTATGTATGATATGTGTGTTACACAAGATAATAATATGTCCCTATTAAAGTAAACATTTATAATACATAGTGCATTTTTTTTTGCTGTTCATCAGGACTGGGGCGTTCAGCAGAAGAAAGCAAACCGATCCTCAGAGAAAAACAAGAAGAAGCTGTCAGCTATGGTGGTGGAGAGCCGCCTGACTAATGACATTTCACCAGAATCCACCCCTGGGGCCGGTCGCAGGAGATCCCGCACCCCTCATTCCTTTCCCCACATCAAATACTCCACCCAGATGTCAGTCCCAGACCAGGCTGAGCTGGACAAGCTGCGTCAGAGAATCAATTTTACAGACCTGGATGAGGTGAAAAACGGCGGCACTTTATTAGAAATCGTTTCTGGTTTTACATATGTCTCAGGCAAACATAAGCACGAAGACGCACATGAGAGGCACACACACTGATGATTGTACAAAGCTTACCATTTCAAGATTCACTTTTATTATATTTTCAAGGACATGCTTCAACAAAAAAATACATGCTTCCTTCAGTGATAAAATGCCAAAGCATTGCCATGAGGCATCGACAGACAGTAAAGAAAAGCAAAATATATATATTTTAAACTCTAGCCTAGGGTTGGTTGGCTAAACTTGTTCTGCTGTGGATTTGAAGTTGGCAGAATGGCAGAACAGTAAAACATGTAAAATCCATAAGGCCATTTCATGGTGAACAAAGTTTAAAATAGTTGTGTTCTGAAAACAAAAATGATTATGAAACATTTCTAACGATTTATTAACGATAAAAAGAGGAGATCTTCATGAAAAAATACCCAAACGCTTAAGTAGTCAATTGTCTGAATTTGATCTTCTTTTGTTACTCAGAGGAGCATTGGCAGTGACTCCCAGGGGCGTGCCACAGCTGCCAACAACCAGAGGCAGCTGGCTGGAGAGAACAAGAAGCCCTACAACTTCCTACCTCTTCATGTGAACACTAACAAAAGCAAGGAGCTGCTCCACCCCTCCTCGTCTGCCCCAGCCACACCAGCTATCACCAAGGAAACCAAGAAGCAGGGCCCAGGACTCAGGGATACTTTAACCCCTTTGGTTTCCAGCAAGGAAGCTCAAAGGCTCACCCGTGGCAGTACAGAGAGGAGGCCCTTAGCGCACAGAGAGTATGGGAGAGGAGAGCCCAGAATAGACAGCAGCCAGGTAACATTGTGTTTGGTTGTTGCCATGGTTTTGTCAGCTCTTACTCTTGTTGATCTGCAACTTGATGCCATGTATACTGAAGATTGAGCCAGACTATGAGGAGTTTGTCAATTCTGGTTACGATATGGTCCAGTTGATTAAGTCGATGCTGAGCTAAAGTATTTACTTAATAAGTGAGACATACTGGTGGTGTTTAAGGGGAAAGTCACAGTTATAGCTGGTTATAGCAAGTCATTCAATAAGTGTAAAGATATTTCACTATGAACACAAGTGTAAACCGTTTGATGGTGATATAAATTAAGAGGATAAGCATTTATCAGTAAAGGGCCATATATATTCCTCAGTCGTTGCTAGGGAACAGAAACAGAGCTCAAAGAGCTTGATTACATTCTTACTGTAAAATAACTCAAAATGAAACACAACATTGCTCCTAATTGCTGGATGTGTGAATCAGTATGCTAACACGTTTGCATTAATCAACTTAATATGTCATTTCAAGTCAGTGTTGACAACTACTGCTGCCCCCAGGTGGCCAGATATATCCGGTTTAAGACTACTAATCCTCCTTAGAAAGACATTATTTTCACATTTAAATTAAATTAAGCACTTTTCACATGTAAATGTGGAAGTGTCTCGGTATCACTTTGCTTCTAGCTACTGTGTGAAACCAAAACTAGGATAAAAGTGAGGGAGATCTAGTGCAGCTGAAACTAGGCTGTATTTAGGGCAATTTATAAATATGCTACCCCTGGCGCCGAGTGAGTTTTGTGCCCCACCCCTTTCTGCCCTTATTAAGCCTAGTCTGAGCTGTCGCTACAGATGCTGTCGCCTTTCCTTACGTATTCCTATGTCTCCTTTTCAATGACTTTTTGAAACCCACACCCATACGCCACCCTCCTCTCTCTCTCTGCTTGGTCTCAGGTGGTGAGCAAACTGGTACAGATCCGGGAGTACATCAGTAAGGCCAGCTCCATGCGGGACGACCTGGTGGAGAAGAACGATGTGCCGGCCAATGTGGAGCGTCTCTCCCATCTCATCGACCACCTCAAGGAGCAGGAAAAGTCATATTTACGGTTTCTGCAGAAAATGCTGGTAAGTCTGTCATTTGTTTATTTTATTTGTAATCTTTTTCAGAATTAATCTAGTTCTTAGCATTTCTAATGCTCGTAGACAAATGTATACATTCGTTTGTGTGTGAAGCTTGTTTGTTTGCTTATTTATGGTTGAAATGGAACTGGCTTTCGTTTCTATCTTGGCAGCTTAAATTATGTTCATGTTTCATGTGATGATAACATTAGGACATTCAGTAGCCTGCTACCTTCCATTGCAGCAGGTTGGCTTTCTTAATGGCTTGGTATCACTTTGCCTCAATGGAGCGTTTCTGTGAAATATATTGTAGTATTTGCAGGCACTTCATTTTCTGTTTTGCAAAACAAATCTAAATAACGGCAAGTGTTTTGCCCACTATATATATATATATAAATAAACATTCTCATATATAGAACATTTAGAGGAGCTTATTAAGTTTTGAATAATTTACAGCTTTTAGGTTGATACCTAAGAAATGTCAAACAATTGTTGGAAAAAGGGTGTACTGCATACTTTCCTTTTCAGTTATCATTAAGTCTCTTGCTGCTTTTTCCAATATGTCTGTAGACACGGGAGAATGATGAGGATGAGGTGGGGACCCTGGACTCCGCAGTGGGCTCAGGTTCACTTGCTGAGAGCACTTCTCTTAACATTGAGGTCCGATCCTCAGATGCTTCAAATGCAACGGTGTGTACCTTTGCATTAAACCTTTATAATTCAAAGGTAAGTGCAATTTATGTAAAGAAAGCAATTTGTCTTTGATTTGCTTTTCTCGTTGTAAGTTAGATGTATTTGCTGCGTCAGTACCTGATAAGCCTCTTTTACCCTTTTCTGCTGAGTAGCATCCCAGCACTGTTTTGTTTTGTGCAGTGTTTGTAATGCTATCTGGATGGAACTATTGTAGGGCGGACGGACAGAAATGGTGCGAGCTGACCAGAAGGAAGAGTTGGAGAATCTGCGTAAGCAGCACGAGCTGCTGAAGAAGATGCTGGAGCAGCAGGAGCAGCTCAGGGCCCTGCAGGGCCGACAGGAAGCACTAATGGCCATGCAGGACAGTGCAGAGCAGGCACTGGCTGTGATTGAAGACACTGGTGAGATACACGGTCACAGGCCTATTCACAGTCGCAGACAGTAGTATAGATCACTTTTCTTCCAAACAGGAATACATCAATGAGAACTCAGTTGATATCCTTTTTAAGAAACAGTTATTACACAAACTGATTGTATTAATAGAAGGTATATTTGTGTTTTAGTATATTCTGGTAAATATGTCAAGAAATGTATCCACTTAATGTCATATTTGATGCTGAACATAAACAAACATTCACCTGGTTTAATACATTTGTTGTTGTCATTAGTTGTCACAGAAACGACAGGCAGTGTTTCTGGCCTGAGCATCACATCAGAACTGAATGACGAGTTGAACGATTTGATCCAGCGGTTCCACAACCAGCTGCATGATTCTCAGGTACAGTAGTAGAATATGCATTTGGGCTGCCGTTGCCTCCTTAAATAAAAGCAAATATTTCCTGCTTCCTGCTCCGAACTGTCTTCTGACTAAATTCATTATGTCACTATGTTAAGCTATTTACTTTGCATCACTTCTCATCTGTAATTATGGCTTGTTCACCTCTGACTTGATAAGCCATGTCAACATGGGCAAATATCTATTAACTGTTAAATAACAAATGTTTAGCTCACGTGTTTGATTATTTATGTCTTGTAGACTAAAGCAGTGCCAGACAACCGTCGGCAGGCAGAGAGCCTGTCCCTCTCCAGAGAGGTGTGCTGGTCTCGGGCTCCCCAGGCTGTTGGTCCTCCTCAGCACAGGCCTCTCCTCCACTCGGCCTCTGGCCCCCACACTGGCCTAGACATGGGGGCAACAGCTGCCAGTGCCAAACTCACTAAGCTCCAAGAACTCCAAGACAAAAAGCAAACCATGGACAAGATCCTACAGGAGCTGCATTCACTCAGAGACCAGACACTAAACAACAACTCATGTAAGAGTATTTTCAAAGGCATGTTTTGCAGTAATATGTGGCTTTTTTACCTATAAAGTGTAGATAAACTGTAAGTGATTCTTTTCAGGTCGTGGCCTGTCAACACAGTGCAGTCTGAGTATGGGAGCGTCATCAGACTGTCCATCTGCTCTCTGCTCTAATGGGGCCTCAGCTTCCACTTCCTTTCATCCTTCACTCACACAACACCAGAACAGCTCCAATTCCACAGACAAGCTCAGGTAAACACAAAAACACACGCAGCTGAATAGGCAGCTCAGATATCAGCAGCAGGGAGTTGTACAGAGTGTAGTGAAAGCTTGCAGGCAAGCCAACAAGTTTTAGCCTTTGCTAAAGTCTTCTTGATCACGACGCTTAGCACCCATGCTTTTCTAGAGGTGCTTTTCTGTAGGTGACTCAACACAATTCATTTTTGTAGAAGGGCAATTGTGTGACGTAACCTTTATTATTATTTAGCCTGCTACACATTCAGATTTCATCTAAACCTTTTGTTCTTTTCCTTACACAGGAAGCTAAAGGAGGTCCACAAACGTTTGAATGAACTGCGGGAACTGGTTCAGTACTACGAGCAGACTTCTGATATGATGGTGGACGCGGTCAATGAGAATGTGAAAGAGGATGATGATGAGGAAGAGGAGGAGGAAGATGAGACAGAGGACAGTTCAATGTTTGATGCCCTTTTTGACTCTGAGCAGGAGAACCGCCAGCCTGTGACCAACATCAGGTGTGTTTTGTTTCCACAAGTATACTTCAGGTTAAATGAAGAGTCATGGTATTGTAGGTCATAAAACATTCTTAAGGTAATATGCGATAAGAAAGTCATTGTATATATATATATATATATATATATATATATATATATATATATATATATATATATATTGTATGTTGCAAAATTGTTGCACAGAGAGGCGAAGTCCCTCCCTTTCCGGGGGTCCTCCATGGGTCCTTATTTCGGGAAAAGTATGTATTGCATCTTTCGATCCCGTTTGAATTGTGCCACGAATTACACATATGCTGTTTGTTAATTTAAAAGATAATTTTGCAAGTTAAAAAAATTAAAATGTGTCGTAAAACTGTGAAGTAACACTTTTTTCTGTGTGAAACCGCTCAATGAACTACATCTCCCATCTCGCACCACACACCAAGATGGCCGTCACGTTGGAACATTTCACTTCTTTCTTTCAGAACGAGGCGAAAAGTATTAAACGAGGTGAAAATCACTCCAAGTCTGGGCACGTTGAGAGCTGTACATACACACAAGGGGAGTTAGTCGGTTCCGTAAGAGCCAGCATGCGGGACCGGGATTCTGGGATTTGTAGTCTTTCTAGTTGCGTATTTTTCATAGTCTTATATTTCAACAGTTTTACGACAAACTGACTTTTTTGACATGGAAAGGATTTTTTAAGATTGACAAACATCATATGTGTAATTCATGGCACAATTCAAACGGGATCGAAAGATACGTTTTCTCTCCCCATTGACTTCAATACATACTTTTTCCGAAATAAGGTCCCATGGAGGTCCCCGGAAGGGGAGGGACTTCGCCTCTCTATTATACTGAAACCCTTCCAATTGGAGGAGATTGTTGTGTTGTTGTTGTTGTTGTTGTTGTTGTGCTCAAGTTACAGTGTGTTGAATTCTCCTTCTGGCCTCTTGATGTCTAAATAACAGTCCCTGCCCTTTCTGTCTGTAGGAACCCACAGCGCAGCGGGAACTGGACAGACTTGAACAGCCTGACCAACAGGCGCGCTGTGAGGGGCAGCGCCACTAACAACCGTGATGGCAGACTAAACACAGAGTGTGAGATCAACAACCGGTCAGCAGCCAACCTCCGCAGCCTCAACATCCCATCAGCCATAGGTACACTCATGCACATGCTTGCATTGAGCCGTGTTACAGCTGATGGTCATCTTCCTTTGTGTAGTATTGTATTTTCCTTAACCCTTCGATGCACGAGTGACTGAACGCTACACTCTTCCATAAGTGGGTCAAAAAGGACCCGTATTAGAATAATGTGTTTTTATGCCATTTTTGTCATTTTGGTTAAGAAAAATCACTTGTATTATATTTTGGTTCACTCACATTTTTCACTATTTATAAGTTTAGACATTTTTTTTACATTTTGAAAAAAAAACGTTTTGAACATATTGATACAAAGATCTCCGCTATTCTGAGACCCTCACAGTATTCCAGTCCCTTTTCAAAACTCATCTCTTCTCCTCTTGTCTACTCGTAGCCCCCCCCCCCCATCAATCCATGCCGGTTGATCAAGTTTGATAGTCCTATACCCCCCACCCTAACCTTCCCTTATATTGTAAAGCGATTTTGAGTCCTTGAAAAGCCCTATAAAAATATAATTTATTATTATTATTATTATTATTATTATTATTATACTGACAGGTATCAGATCTTGCTGTGTAAAATAATCTTCCTGAGAGGTGACAGTGAATGTATTCCTGACAGCAACTGTGGCTTATGGTAGCTTGGGGTAGTAATACAAAGACTTAAATTAAAATGTAAAATGTGGATGGCATGATATCCAAAACATGTTTTTTGAGGAATAGCTGGAATATGAAATGATAAAAAAATGTAATTACAAAGATACTTCAAGAAAACCACTTCACCGGGTCAAAAAAGACCCACTTATGCATCTAAGGGTTAAAGGTAAATGGTTAGCATCAATATTTAATGGCATAAATAAAACTGATTTTAAATGTATTCACACTTGGCAGTATTATTCAGTATCATACTGTGATAAGATATATTGTTTTATCAACAATATGAATAATCATTCTTTTCAGAAACAAGTATTGTTAGAGGGATCGAGATCTCATATGAATCTTTGCCCTCATTTAGAGTGCCAGTACAATAGGGACACCCCCTATAATCGGGTGAAGGATGACGATGAGGATGAAGATCGTCTCGATAATGAAGAAGGGGCACAGGCTGCGGCTCCAGACAGCGAGGCCTCGGGGTCGAGTCGAAGAAGCAGTCTGGGGAACAACGGGGGTTTCGCCCAGAAAGTTCATCGGCACACAGCGAAGCAGAAACTCCGGCAGCTTCAGGAGCTGGTGGCCATGGTTCAGGTGAGGCAGACAGCAGGGTCACATCAGAATCAGGTTTATTGCCAGGTAGGTTCACACATACGAGGAATTTGACTTGATGTCATGGTGCAGACATAACATATAAAACAAAAAATCTTTAAGGACATCGTAATAAAATATAGTTAAATAGCAATAAAATAAAGCAGTAATTTACATGGAAATAGAATGCTATCAATTACTTATAGGATATGAAATAAGAAATATGTGCAGTAAGCAGTATGAACATTGTGTGCATTAATGTAATGCATATAGGAACTACGTTGTGGCTGAGGTAAGTGTCAGTGGGGGGGCCGGGCCTTGTTTAAGAGGCCGGTAGCGGAGGGGAAGAAACTGTTCTGGTGGCGAGAGGTTTTGGTCTTGATGGAGTGCAGCCTCCTGCCAGAGGGGAGGGGGGTGAACAGTTTGTGTCCAGGGTGGCAGGGGTCGGGCACTATCTCCCCTGCCCGCCTCAGGGTCCTGTGTATGTAATGTTCTTTAGCAAATCAAATAAAGGGGTTTTCTTGATTGGTTACCTTTTTATGGGAATAGAAAACACCAATAAAACAAATAATAAGCTTTGGACTACAAGGTCATTGTTCAACATTAGGTTGGTTCTTTTAACAGCTGACTATTTATTTGTTTCTGTACTAGAAAAATGTGATGTCTTATCTAATATGAATGTAATCAATGTATGGATTGTGTGTTTCTGTCTGTATCCAGAGTGATGACACTGATGGCACAACAGCTAATGAAGATGAAGCTATACACCAACAGCCAAATAATACCAGAGCTACTGTGGCTAGGTCTCTGGGAGCCGGGTCCAAACAGAGTCCCAGAGAACTCACTCTGTCCAGCAATGCCAGGTACAGTGTTTAAAGGTCTGAAAGATTGCCTGTACAGTGGTCCCAAAACATTCATTTGACTTAGTTGGCAGCTTTTCCTTCTTCGCTGTGTGTTTTTGGTATTCAATGACTTTGCATCGCATCAACATTTTAATGGACACAGGGAGAAGCTGTACGAGGAGAAGCTGCGTCAGCAGAAGCAGGAGCTGAAGCAGCTTCATGAGGAGCGCCAGAGGCTCATTGAAATCCAAGGCAAGATCCACGACCTGCAGTGGGCTTGCCCTGACCTCCAGGTATGGCACACACACACACACACACACACACACACACACACACACACACACACACACACACACACACACACACACACACACACACACACACACACACACACACACACCACACACATACACACACAAGCACACATCTATACAAGGATTGGCTGAGTAGTATACAAATCAGATATTAAAAAAACATGTGTGGAAAAGGTTTTGTTAATATTTTCTCCTACCTCTTTAGAGCAGTTAGGGGGTGGCCCACATATCTATCAATAACAAACGCAACATACTACAGCCTCCAAAAGGACCATACATTTTAATAATAATTTGTATAAAACATTTTTAAAAAGCGAACATGCATGAAAACATGCATAGTGTATGATAGTGTGTTGTCTCATTTTATTGTGTAAGACTACATCATTTTAACATAGGTGTACCTAATAAACTGACGCCTACATGTACATCTGTTTCTTTAGAGGGTACATTATTTGTATTTAACCTGTAACTTCTTGTGGTGTCCTTCCTAGTCATCTCTGTCCAGCGCTGTGAGTCAGCAGGGCTTACTGAGGAAGCTTCCAGTTGCAGTTTCCACTCCAGCCACTGTCCTGCCCTCCCCCTCCGGACCCAAAACCAACTCGGCTGTGCTTAAACCCACGGCTCCAGAAGCAGCTTCCCCTTCAGTCACTGACAATGAGGTAACATACCCCCCCCCCCCCCCCCCCCCCCCTCCCGCACACAGGAAGACTCTTGGCTTCCATTGGTCAAATGTCCGAGGAGATCTGTACTCTCAGAACCGTTCAGAACACAGTTTACAGGTCCTCTCTGTTCCTGTGTTGTCAGCAGCTATGGTCTGAGATGCGTCGCCACCAGATCTTGCGGGAAGAACTGCGTCAGCGCAGAAAGCACCTTGAGTCCTTGATGGCTGAACACCAGAGGCGCAGTGGTGTCGGTGACTCCCCCAGACAGATGGATGACTCAGAGGGCCTAGCTTCACCTTCACAGCCAGTCAGTAGGGATGAAAGGTAGGAGGCTTAGGTTGCATTTGTAAAGTAGGAGATATTTGCAAGTGAATATCAGACCCCCCACAGCAGAAACGTTGAACAACAGGAGCTCTCTCTCTTTCATATGCTGGGAAATAAAACTGAAAGTTATTCCAAAGAAAACAAGATATTTCTACCTTTTTGTTTTCTTTCCATAATTAGGACAATGGCTACCTGGGGTTCCAGTCCTTGCCACCTTGATGATGATGATGATGATGATGATGATGACGATGAGGATGATGATGAGGATGAATATCAATCAGAGATCGGTGCAGAGGAGGAAGAGGAGCATGAAGAATGTGCAGATAGCAGCTCTGATGACGACATCCACATCTACTCATCCAGCAGGAACCAGTGCTCCTACAGTAACAGGAAGAATCAAGGAAGGTCAGTCGAAGTGCAAGCAGAAGGAATTCTATTGTGCTGATTTTATTTTACCATGATTTGCTCACTTATCTTTTTGTTCCTAGCAACCTGAAGCCTCCAGCAGCCTTCTCAGGTGACGGCAGTGGGGATCCATCTCTTCAGAACAAGGCTAATGCTAAGCAGCAGCAGCAGCAGCCAAGGATTATGAACCAGTCTGCGAGCAGCCAGCATGGAGCTACACGGCGACAAGAGAACCTGCGCTGGGCCTCTGAGCTCTCCTTTGCTGAGGGCTCGTCTCAGTGGCAGGAGCAGGTCAGCCAGCTGCAGAGACAGCTGGACTTCAGCACCAGCATGTGTCAGACGCTGCTGCAGGACCAGCAGGTTGGTGCTCTGAACAAAAACATACACTGACACATTTGTCCAGATCAGGCGTTTCTTTTTTATTTACACATACACTGATCTGGATTATGGACACAAGCTTGCACCACATTTGGAGAAATCATGTACAGGTTTAATGAAATCATCTATACTCATAGCCAGTGGCGAGCCGTGACTTTTATACCTAGGCCCTCGGGAAAAAAAAAAAGAGTTATCACAGCGTAGACTTCAGCGGAATATCAAAACAACGGCCCGGGGTGCAAAATGCATCACTGAAAGCGACCCTCTACCACACAAAACAACACCTGTAAATAACACAATTTGTGTTCTTTGAAGTTGTAAAGGGTATTGCATTGTGCTTGTTACTTTCGTTGCAGTTGTATGTCTTAAGTGTAATTTGGCATGCTTTTATTTTGAAGGCGAGTTTACGCTGTTGACAGGAAGTTGTTGTTGCTATGGAAACAAGAACAGCTTCCCAGCAGGCGGAACTTGTCATAAAGTCCATGATAATAAAACCCACCCATTTAGAGGGAAGATATGATTGGTCAATTGTACTGTCAGCTGACATTACTCTCTCGTTCTGTTACTATAGCGGGGCCCTCTGCGAGCCCTCTGGCCTTATCTTGAAAATTGTGTTTTCATGTTTTATACATAGATTTTTTTTAGACAGTTATTTTGTGCACCAGATTGATATATTTCAGGGAACAAAGGAATAATTATAAAATGACCTGTCTACTTCTTAACCAAGCCTTTGTTGTTTCAAACAAACACATTCTCTCGCCTCCCTCCACAGACACTCTCTTATATGTTGCAAACCCTGCTGACAGGTCAGTACAGTGTGTTTCCCAACAACGTGTCATCACCACAGGTCCACCTGATCATGCACCAGCTCAACCAGTCTTACACCCAGCTGGCCTGGCAGCAAAACAACGCACAAAGGTAAAAACAATACCTTACAATAGAATCTTTATTTATATCAAGCAGTTCATCTTTTTAAATGTTGGATACTCTCTCTAACGTTTGCTTCAGGCTAAAGCAGGTCCTGAACGACCTCCTCCTCCAGCAGCAGCAGCAGCAGCAGCAGCAGCAGCAGCAGCAGCAACAGCAGCAGCAGCAGCAGCAGCAGCAGCAGCAGCAGCAGGCTTCCTCCTCAGCAGCAGGGTGGCAGACCCAGACCCAGAAGCCCGGCTCGTCCCAGGAGTCCAGCTCCGGCCCCTCAGCCTCCCCTGGTGTATTCCTCCCCTTCTCCTCTAACCTGCAGCCTTCTACCAACAACATGTCAACTGCAGCCTTATCCCCATTCCCTCCCGGTATGACACACTCATATCTTTTTAGCTCTTGGGATTAATTCTGTCACAAAGCATGTCTGGATTGGTATGCATTAGGACCAACAAGTTAACATATGAATGAGGCTTTAAGGTTTATAGTCTCCTTTCGAGCAACTGAAGTATTTGTTGGTTATGATGTGAGTTTTAAAGCATCTTTGCTTTTCCAAAATCAATACAAGCGTGAGATTTCATAGGTCATTGCTTTCATGAAAGTCTTGGGAAAGCATTTTTAGCAAAAATAGAAAATCAGAATGTCTTAGAAATGTAAATACAAAACATTTAGAAAATATTTCTTTCTAAATGTAATTCCTTTCATTTCAAACCTTTATTTACCCAGGTGTATCCCATTGAGATCATTGATCTCTTTTTCAAGGGAGACCTGCTCAAGTAGGTTCCACATGAAATATAAAACATAAACAGAACAACAAAAAGGACATTTTACAGCATTATTACAGGGATTACAATTTACAATAACTATCCACATGAGCAGGTCCCAACAGCTTCCGATTGAGTAGCATCCAACCGAGCTTTAATAATTCTTGTTACATGTGTAAACAATGTTAATGTTGGTGCTGTTACTGATATGAGTAATTTTAATTTGTAAGTACCGTAAGTAATTTTAAGATGTGCAGAAATGAAAGGCCAAAGAAAGATGTGCAGAAATGAAAGGCCAAAGAAAGATGTGCAGAAATGAAAGGCCAAAGAAAGATGTGCAGAAATGAAAGGTCAAAGAAAGATGTGCAGAAATGAAAGGCCAAAGAAAGATGTGCAGAAATGAAAGGTCAAAGTGTCATGATTTATTGTTTTTATTTTAACATTAACTTTTCAAAGTCAGAAAATAAAGTATATTTTCTTTCTTTCCCTCTGCAGGCTTTAACTTATATCCACTCTTCCCTGCTCCCATGGGCGAGTTCCCTCAGAGTGCAGCGGGCCAGCCCGCCCCCGACCAGCGGAAGCAGCAGTTAGACCCCAACGCCTCAATCAAAACAGAGTACATGAGTTTCCCCCCTCCACTGCAGCGCTCTCCTCTGAACACCACCACAGAGACGGGGTATATTTAACAGTTCTGCCTGAAAAAAAGATATTAACATTTTGTTATATTTATACATTGAATAATATTGTTGTTGATATATTTGTTCTCCATGTGACCCCTCTAGAGCGTCTGGCTGGCTTAATACCTCGTATGTGAACAACACCGTCCAGCACCACCAGTCCAACACGGAGCACCAGGAGTCTCCCTCCTCCTCCCCCATGTTTGCCAGCCGCCATCCCAGACATCAAGAATTTGACAGAGCATCACAGGAAAGCTTCAGCACCATGCCTGACCCTGTGGATCCCACCACCATCACAAAGACCTTTAAGGCCGGACGCAAGGCCTCTGCACAGGCCAACCTGGCCTCAAGAACCAAGACCCCCAACTCCAAGAGCCGCCGCAGGAGGGGCAAAGGGCTCAAGAACAGTGAAGGTATCAAGTTGAATTCTCAGGGTGTCCGCGGGGTCTTAAAAAGTATTTAAAGTTGATAAATCAATTCAGTGAAAATGAAGGCTATTAAAAAGTATTAAACGGCATTTTGCAAGGTATTAAATGTTGTAGCTTGTTTTCAATAAGTATATAAATGGTCCAAAGAGGTTGTATTCTACTGTCTGCCTGAATGTAACCGTTGCGTAGGTGTGTAGTGTGATTCTGTGTAGTTTATTGATGGCATCCCGTTGGGTTTGACGTCATCTGAACAGGACATCGCACGCTCACTGCTTGATGGCGCGCGAAGGTCTGTTTACGCCGGTTGTTAAACAACATCGTTATGGGGAAATGCAAGTTTGCGTCCAAATGGTTGGAAGATAAGGAGGAAGGACAATCAATACTGTGTATAGTAAATGTGAGGTCAAGTGTGTCGCCAATGTAACTGGTTAAAACTCAAAGTGGCGATGAGGTCTTAAAATGTATGGAAAGGGTCTTAAAAATGGTCTTAAAAGGTTTTACATTTGACTTCAGGAGTCCTGCATATACCCCGGTGTGTTTATTTTCGTTTTGTGTTTCCCTCAGGCCATGAGAGTGACAGTGTGAGCAGCACTGCAGACTTTGTCCAGGAGAGGGCGGCGCTGTCCCGTCAGAAGGATCAGAACAAGAGTCTGTTGGACAGGCTGACCCAGGAGAAACTCGACAGCAAATCTAATCTGGGGAGCAAACGAAACGACCTCTCCTCTGGTGCGAATCAAGCCGTGAAAGTTATCCGATTCCACCCACCCCCCCCCCTCACCCCTCTTGTGTCTGTGTTTTTTGTCCTTTTTATGTTAAGGACCAGATTAAGCTTTTTAAGTGCTATTTTGCCCTTAATTGAACATCTTGTCCATCTCTAATTCGTTTTGCACATTTGTCCAGATCATGTGTTTTCATTTTGTCTTAATTGTCTTTGTTGTCACTTTAATTTATCCTACTCGCAGCCTATGCTTGGAGGACACCCTTCCTCTCTAACAGAATTGCATGCACAGAAGCACCAGGTAAACCCAAGCTTCATGTGTCATTATGTCACATAAACATCTCATGCATCTTCTGCTTGTCCGAAACCAAATATTTTCATTATGATTACAGAGTCCCATTTATTTCCCCGTGTAGGAAGTTATATTAAACATTAACAACAAATCTGTCATATCTTGTACTTGTAGACGCAAGCAGCGACTTGCGGGAGACCATCTACTCTGAAGTGGCTACGTTAATATCCCAGAATGAGTCCCGTCCACATTTTCTCATTGAGCTCTTCCATGAGCTGCAGCTGCTGAACACAGACTACTTACGGCAGAGGGCGCTGTATTCCCTGCAGGTCTGTAGCTGCTCTAGAGTATGACAATATATATCCTCCTTGCATGGCTCAGATCACAGAATAATCCGTTTGATTTGAGCATAGGGTGAAGCTCCTGTCTGGGTTTTGGGTCAGAAAGGTTTCTTAGCAGAATATCTGGTCAAGTGTCTAAAAGATCAGAAACATATCTGTGATGAAACTGCCGGTCTGCATCAATTTAAATGTTTAAAGGTCATATTGTTTGCCTTAGCTTTTTGGAAAGACCTGATGGAGATAATGAGACAATTAGGAGGAGGAGAAAGGAGACTTTTTCCATTTCATTCATTAAGCTGTTGAGGACAATAGGTTTCAAAATGTAGGATAAAAGCTGGTTGAAATGTGACCTTTAACATCTGACCATGCGGATAAAGAAGAGATAAGAATAGGCGGAGAAATCATGAGGTTAATTTAACTTACTGTAAATATGTTCCAATGAATTGTACTTTATAATTTGTGTGAAATGTATCTGGCAATAAGTTATCATTACATTACATTACATTACATTGCATTTAGCTGACGCTTTTATCCAAAGCGACTTACAATAAGTACATTCGACCAACAAGATACAAACTGAAGAAAACAGAATCATATAAGTACATCAGGTTTCATAGAGCCAAACATTTCAAGTGCTACTCAACTGGCTTTAGGTAAGCCAGTCCTTTATTAGTATATAAGTGCTCTGTTAGTAATTCTATCGCTCGAAGTGGAGTCGAAAGAGATGAGTTTGTAGTCTGTGCCGGAAGATGTGTAAGCTATCTGCTGTCCTGATGTCAATGGGGAGCTCATTCCACCATCTTGGAGCCAGGATAGCAAACCCACGTGTTTTTGCTAATGGGAACTTGGTCCCTCTCATATATGTATCATATACATGTATCCCAGTTGAGCTTATTGAATTAGAGTTGGAAGCAAACATACTATGGTTTGAGTGTGTTTGTGAGTTTATCTACGAGGTATCTTTATTTGTGTGATTTTTATTAGGTTTTTAAATCAATCGGAACTTTAAAATTCTTATAAGGCTGGGCTTGTAAATAAATACAATGTCCCCTCGAGGACCTGCCTTGATGACAACCGTGTCTCTGTGTGTTTGTGGCAGGACATAGTGAGCAGACACCTGTCGGAGAGGAGTGCAGCGGAGGAGCTCCCCCCCCTCGGCCCTGTGGTGTGGGCTGCTGGCTCTCAGTCTGAGCTCACACCCAGTGAGAGTCTGGCTACCAGCGATGCCGTAAGAGACGCATCTTCCCAGTGTGATGTTTTCTCACATTCCTAATGTTGTTTGTTCTTTTTTTCTTTAACCCTCCGGTATCATCCGATTGGACTACGCTAATTAGTCATTCGGGACAAAAATGTCCACTGCAAAAGACTTTTGGGTTCAATCTTTAAAGCAACTTCAGCCCTAATCAAAAAAAATATATTTTCAGGATTTTAACCCTTTAAATGCCATTTTGAATACATGAAACCGCTGTTGTTTTTCATGATAAAAACAGAGAAACAAGTTATTTTCCATATAATACATATCTGGGGACTGGCTTTTTTATCACAGTCTTGGATATGTCAAAGATTACCAACAAAATTGATTTTGGTGCATTATTAGTTTTTGCACAAAATTAGATTAAACAAAAAACTCACACATTAGTCATTCGGGACAAAAATGTCCACTTCCAAAAACTGCTATAAAATGATAACAGATTAATATTTTCTTAAACTTTCTGGGGTTAAATCTTTCAATCAACTTCAGTCCTGATCAAAAATACCAAATATCAAATTATTTTCAGGATTTTAACCCTTTAATATATGGATATGCTCCGAGACTGGAATGCCCTCCCAAACCAGCTGAGGACACCACAGACTGTGGAGCCTTTCAAAAAAGGCCTAAAAACGCATCTTTTTAGAATAGCCTTTAACTAGATTTGTAAATCCCCCACATTATGCCATGCCGGCATGAATGTCACAGCTTTTATTATGTTGTTTTAATTGTTCTTAAATTGTTGTTTTTGTTTCACCCTTTTTAATTTTGTAGCACTTTGAGTTTTGTTTACGCAAATGAAAAGTGCGCTTATAAATAAAATATATTATTATTATTATTATAATATGTTGTGTCCCTCCATATTGAGGCTTATACCACTCCTAAAGTATTCCTCTCAATCCTTATTGGCATCCTCCCCCTATTCTTCATTTCAATACATCTTTCATTAGCTTCTCTCAGCCTTGCCTCCTTTCGTCCTCCCCCTGCCTTGTCTCTTCTCATCTTTACATGTCTCTCTTCATTCTCTCATTTTAATGTCCCTCCCACCGTCTTCATTGTCTTTGAATTCAACTTGACAGCATGGCTTCAGAAACCTGTCTATAAAATAATGACCCTCATCTCTCCATGTCTCTTTTGCCACATCAGACATGTGTTCTTTGTTCTCGACCAAGGTCCCTCCAGTTCTACTAATTGGGTGACAGGTCCTTTTTTCTGTCTCAATAATGCCTGTTCAGGAGTGATGGATGATGTTTAATTTTCGATGTTAAAGAATGGCAAGAGGAGTCGACATATGCTGAAAAACCTCTTGCCTCTATAGTCATCCTTTCTTCTATGAACCGAACAGTTTGGGGTCCATTCTCTTGTCAGATATATGTTGCCGGTGCCTAAAACTGGATGTTGTTCTTTTTCAGGAGGTGGTGGAGAAAAACCTGAGGCTCACGATGAAGAAAAGGGATGATGCAGAATCTGTGGGCAATGACAGCAACATGTCAACCTCCTCCAACCTCGAACCATTTGCTAACGATGACCTGGGTACGGTTATGCATGTAGACATTATTTTGGGGCTGAAGCTATACCTATCTGAAGCTGCTTCCACATCTGGGTGTTCAACTGCTTTGCGTATAGCCTTTCAACTAAATAAACCACCACTTTACACCTCAGGATCAACAACACATGTTCAAAGTAAAGAAAACTACCTTTGAGAAATGAGTTTGGGAACTTCAGTGACACAGATTAGGAGTGACGGTGATTAGGAGCTGGCTTACTTACGTTTGATCCTGTCGTGTAAACCTGGTACGAGAGGCATTCATATCCATTACTGCCTTCTCTCTCTTGCCTCATTGATTTTGAACTTTTGTATCCCTTTTCTTTCTCTTTTTTCACTCTCCTTTCTTTTCTGCTCTGATAGGCAACACAGTGATTCATTTAGACAAAGCTCTGGCCAGGATTAGGGAGTATGAGCGCATGAAGCTTAAAGCTGAGTTTAACCCCTTCAATGGCAGCTCTGCGGGTGCAGGTGAACTCTCACTTGCTGAACATCCTTCTGCTTCCCTTGCTGCCCCAGTGGAAGGTACCTCATCTCATAGCCTTCCTGAGTACACCTCAACCAAAGACCCGTAGCAGCACAATCATTGCCTTTGAATGGCTGTTTCATTTAGCATAAATATTCAATATAATGATTTGTGTGCAGGAGGAGCAGCTGGTGATGTGCACTGCCCTCAGATCGACACCCAGCAGCTGGACCGTCAGATCAAAGCCATCATGACAGAAGTCATTCCTTTCCTTAAGGTAGGACAACACACACAGAGCTGCAGGGCGGATTGTTGTCACATTCTTACCAGTAGAAAATGCACTTAAATTGAAAAATAATAACTAAATCATCACATTTGAAAAGTATTCTTGTTGGTAATTAGTTGCTCAAAGCTTTTTAAAGGTAACACGAATATGTCTTCATTACTGGCTGCAGCACTGTGAATTTGAACAGGGTTAAACCACTCTGTTATGTTTTGTTATTAGGAGAACATGGATGAGGTGTGTTCCCTCCAGCTGTTGACATCTGTGCGGCGCATGGTCCTCACTCTCACCCAACAGAATGATGAAAGCAAAGAGTTTGTCCGCTTCTTCCACAGACAGCTGGGAGGCATACTGCAGGTATCAAAACACCCGGTTCCTCGAGGTGACACTAAGCAGAGAGGACGATCAACAGCTCTCCTGACATTCCCTCCCTCTCTCTCCTCCAGGACTCACTCAGTACATTTGTGGGGCGTACTCTAAACGAATGTGGCGAAGATCTTCTGGTGGAGATCTCCGAGATCCTCTTCAATGAACTCGCCTTCTTTAGGCTCATGCAGGATTTGGACAGCAGCAGCATCGCCTTGGCAACCAAACACAAGAATAAGAAGAGGGCTGAGCCACCAATGAGAGCGAAGAACAGTCTCAAGGTACGTCGTTTTTATAAATTCAGGCTTCGTAGTTTTTATCATATAATATAAGTATCAGGGTTCTTACGGTTTTTAAAAACCTGGAAAAGTCATGGAAATTCAAAATGCTAATTCCAGGCCCTGGAAAAGTCATGGAAATGTAACTAAAGTTGCATCAAATATAATTTATATTTTATCTAATCGCCGAAATAGTAATACTATAATGATAATAAATACTGTATCGTATAGTAATGAAACGTAAAATGGCATTTAACTGACGAGGTATTTTGGTAGGTGAGAGAGATTTGAGTTTTGAGTTGCTTTAGCGTGTAGAAGCTAGTAAGCCTATTTGATTTGTTTTAGATAGGCACAACATGTTTCATATGCAGACCTTATTTTCCTATTCCCTGTTAAAATAAACAATTTTCAGTGGTACCGCTGAGAAAGAGCAATTGTTTTGGTCATGGAAAATGAGGTAAAGGTCATGGAGAAGTCATTGAAAATCATTGGTGAAAAAGTGTATGAACCCTGAAGTATGAATGAGGAAAAAGTAAACGATGCTGCGCAGGCATTTGTTTGACTGAGACTGAATTACACTCTTTATGTTAATGTTTTCCACCCGTTAGGAAAATATAGTAGCAGGTGCTGACACATCAATGTCTCCGGCCTACACTGATGAAGACAAGGTCAGTCATTTAAACAGCGATAATGAAATGGTCGATACCACTTAGAACCCCAGTAATCTGTGTTACAATAATGTCTCTGTTGTTGTTCCTCCAGGACCAAGATGAGGCCGAGCAGGAAGGAGCGGCCAGCCTCCAGGAGCTGTACCTGCAGAGAGAGAGGAAGAACACCAGGAGCAGTGAAGCGTCAGAGGGGGAGGACGAAGAGGAGGATGAGCAGGGCGGTCAGGGAATCCGTCTGTCAATCAGTAAGTGGAAATATCATAAAGGCCTCTTTGGGAAAGCCCAACATCCAGTCAAATCTGATATTTGAATGTTGTTATTATTCCCTACTTATGTTTTTATCCTTTATATGGCAGGATACATTGTTCAGTAAGTTACAACAAAATCTACTCAATAATTTTAAATGGTCTATACTAGGGCTGTACCCGAATATCTGAATATTCGTTTGAGTGGTATTCGGGTTTCAATTTTGTTTTTTAATTGATTGAAATCTCCAATATCAACGTAAGAGCCTCTTCGGGGGGTGCTAACACTTGACCATAAACGTTATCGTTTACTTTCTCCGTCTTTATACGTCACCTTGTTTCCATAGCAACAACAACTGCCTGTCAACTGCGCTAACTCTCACTTAAGACATACACAACTGCAACGAAAGTAACAAACACAATGCGATATCCTTTTCAATTTCAAAGAACACAAATTGGGTTACATTAACAAATAACTATAAAACAACAATACTGTAGAATAACAAGGGCGGGACGAATATCCGCATATTCGCTGCTGATTACTACCGAATATCCGGAGCCCGAAAAATGGTATTCGGGACAGCCCTAGTTTATACATGACAGTCAGTGATCCGTAGTTTTGTTAAAAAATGTGCAGGAAATAAGCATAACTCGCTATCAAATGCTAAAAAGGACTGGATTATGGATTATAACATTTAAATATGTTTAATTTAATGATGTATTGCTGTGGATACCTGCATTAATCTCACACATTTGCCATCATTGTGTTGTGACTCTGTCAGGTCTGTCCAAAGCAGAGACTCAGGCTCTGACGAACTACGGCAGCGGGGAGGATGAGAACGAGGAGGAGGAAATGGAGGAGTTTGAAGCCGGACCTGTGGATGTCCAAACATCGTTGCAGGCTTCTGCTGATGGACATGTGGAGCGGGAGGTCAGTGATACAGTTAGTCATTAAGTTATAGTTTTTATATAAAATATATCTGATTATTAAACGTATTCATTATTCATCTGAGCCTGTTGTTGTTTGATGCTTCAGGAGACGATGCTCAGCCAAACCCACGAGAGCAGAGCTGAGCACAGGAGTTCAGAGATCCATGACGGTGAGGCGCTTTACAGGGGAAATGTCGTTCAAGCTAATAAACAGTCAAGCTGGCTCGGTCTGAGAGACTTTGTAGTTTTAGACTCTGCTTTTTTTAGGCCATTAATTAAACCAGATTTTCATTGTTTTGCAGAAATGAACAACTCAGCTGCTGTGACTGCAGAGCACCGTGACATGAAGGAGTGTCAGAGCGCAGAGGAGGAGGAGAGAGGAGGAGGAGGAGGAGGAGGAGGAGGAGGAGGAGGAGGAGGAGGAGCTGCCTCTGAAGAACCATCTGATGAAGTCTCCCATCACCAGGACCCGGACCCCAAGGAGTCCCACACCACGAGCAGCCCGGACTCAGACTCTCCCGTCATGATCAACGTAGATGTAAGTCCAAGCTTAAAAAAATAGAACTCGGGATATTTATATTTATCACATTATCCGATGTATCTCTGCAATAACTGCATCATTACTTTATCGGTGCTGTTGTGATCTGATCTTCTACCTTTCATTGGTGCAGGAGATGGGCTCCGGTAACACGAGTCAGAAGTCTGACGAGGAAGACTTTGTGAAGGTGGACGACTTACCACTGCAGCTGTCTGTCATGTGTGAGGTGTGTAACAGCTGACACATCCAATGATACGTTTTCATTAAGTGAATCAGTAAAGGTGTATAATCCACTGTGAAGCCGCTTTTGTCTCATGATACACTGTGCGCTGTCCCGTCAGGAGGAACTGCAGAAGAGGATAGTGGAGGAGCAGCAGAATAACAGCCTGTCAGTAGAGATCCTCAACGGGAACACTGAATCGCTGACGGGGCTGGTGGGAAACCCGCAGGCCCTGAAGGAACCAGGTAAGCATTAAAGCTGAGTTGAGTTGAACACACTGTTTCCTTGTTGCCATGTTTACATCCATGCAGGAATGTGTGTTTGTACATAATGAGTGAAACCCTGTGAGAGTAAATGATGTTTTCTCTTGTTTTTCAGACACTCTCGGTGCCCAGAGCGTGTAAAGATTTTTACAGATGTCTCCAAATCTACTGTTTTTTTTTTTAGCAACACTATGCTTGCACCCTCAATCTGTTCTGGATGTACGGTTGTTGATTCTCTATCTGTTAGTTTTAACGAGCAAAGGCTCAAAATATCTGTTACAAGTTAGCTGTGACACAACGGATAAAACTACACATAATCAACTCTTAGTTTATTTTATTCCTGAATGTTTATTGTGATTTGCGGGTGATCTGGGGAGGGGTGGTCTTTATGCTGCTGATGATTGACAGTTAAGCCTCTGTCTGAATCTTTATAGTCCTTAAACTCCTGTTCAGATTCACCTTAGTCTCCTTGGTTCTGGGATTCAACATGAATTGTGATTTGTTAAGTGTTTTTTTGTCTTGGCCTTATTGTTACACGGCTCGTCTTTCTGCACTTGACTCCTAATGATACAGAGATGACAGTAGGATTGAAGTTCAGTTGTAGCCCGGCTGATCAGAGCGATTGCTTTCTCCAGCTTGAACACTTTTTCCTTTGTCAGAGCTCAAAGCTTAGATTTACATTTTATCCTGTTAACACATCTTTATATACCGTTCTGTTCATGTTTTTCCTCCATTGATTTCCATGTAATTAAAATGTTGACTAAAGTAATAAGTTTGAAATAATAAAATGCTGGAACTTTAAAGAATGGTGTGTGTGTTGACATGTCTGCCACAATTTCAATGATCTATTAATCATTTGTCAAAAAGCAAAATCCAGCTTCTAAAATGTGACAATTTGTTGCGTTTCTGTTCAAAGAAGATAGTAATCCTAATATAATACTTTCTGGGTTTTGAACATCTGAAGTCATCCTTGCGTCCTCTAAGAAATTGTGGGTAGTGTTTCTCATTTTATGGACGAAACGGTATATTGATTAATGGGGGAAATATTCGTAAGATGTCAATGAAATTATGAATTGAATGCAGCCCTATTGAAAATAATATATATCAAGCTCACAAGATTAAAAACACAAGTAGAAACTTAAATTTCAGAATCATTTTATTAACCATCTTTTAAAAAAAGAAATACAGTGAAGGACACCTTTGAGGTACATTAGTCAGTATCAGTGGTCTCAGTACCTGTAAGTTAGTTCTTGACATTTTAACTGGCAGCCTGTGCAAAAGATGTCACGGTGTGGAGGCACAAGCTGGTGAGTGGGCTGCAGTCAAGGGTTAGTTTGCATTCATTTAATTAACAAGCGTTTATCTCCGGGGTCCCTACACCCATGTTGAGATTCACATGCACTCATTGCAAATAACACATAATTACACTAAACACTATGCGAGGGAAAATATGTATACAAGTTTGATTCGCTCTATCAACGGCAACAAATTAAGGATCAAGTCTTTTTTATCAAGGATTCTTAAATCATCAGAAAAACGTAACGACAAACTTTGGTTTATTTGATTTGACATCTGTGCAATAGTTAAAAAGGAGCAGCCTCAACTTGTGACCCGAGATCAGCTGAGCATCACAGCCTCCCCTCTTGAGTTATCCACAAACTGATCTGAGTTCAGGGGTCGAGTGTTACCAGGGCATGCAGGGGTTGGGACAGTTGCGGATGTACGACTCCAGCGAACCCTCAGACACCTGCATCAGCGTTGTGTACGTCGTCAACTGAGAAACACGATAAGAAAAGTTAGTTACACTGAAGCAATTCTGTTTGCATTTCATTAATAAACAGAAACACGTTATTTAAAAGACTCACCTTGTTCAGCACTGGTTTGGTTGAGAGGACATCATACATGGTCTTCAGTGTGATATTCTAAGAAAAACAAAAGAGATCAAAAAGTGTCTCACGACTTTGATCAAACAGGAATGTGACTTAAATCACAAGACCAGCATGATGGAGCTTAATCATCTGGAAAAAAAAAATCATACTTTGACTTTACTTTTACAAGGATTGTGACATGTTATGCCGTACACAGCATGATATTTTTATTATACACTCTACAATTACTTTTTCTAAAAATGTTATAGCATACTGTACTTTGATTATTGTAGGAAATGTATGACATGTTTTGTAAAATAAAACACAATGAAATTTGTTATGGCATTCTATGCAGATATTTTTAAGGCAAGCTATACTAGGAATTTATTTCCCTTTTTTATTTGTCTTCCTTTGTTTGATAGCACAGCTGAAGATGGACAGGAATGGGCTGCGGGTCAGAATTAACCTGGGTCACATTCTTTCCTAGGATGGCTACCCTATTTCCAATTGTTATGACAAACTATGCTATATGTCATTTATTTGGCGAACTACTAGTACCAAGATCTGAAACACTCACTGTCTGCGTGGTCTGGTTCATGCACTTCATGGCAGGAGTTCTGCGGTCGTCCAGGAACAGAGGCTCCTTCCAGTGATCGTAGTTTGTCTCCAAGACGTACCAACGGCCCAGCTTCACGTCAATCCTGAAATACAATAATGAAATAAAAATAACTCGACATGTGACATGCAGCTTCACGAGGAAAAACATGTGAAATAGTTTAAATCAGATGATCTGAAACCAAAGCGGTCATCAGTTCCTAATTGCGCAAGAAAAAACTAACTTTGATCCAATGGCACAACAAACTAGACATAAAAGGCACAATTCATGGAAAATGACTTCTGCATTTCATCTCATTTCATTATGTTCTGATACATCTGCCTGTATTTTGAATCTAAACATTTGCAGTGATTAAGCATTCAAAATGTAAATCCCTATTCAGGAATGCAGACAAACTGTAATAGTTGACATGAAATGCTCTCCAATCACAGAGTAAGCTCCAGTACTCACTCCAGGATATCGATGCTGAGCAGCCTGGAGCGGGTGATGATGCAGCCCTGGCCAGTCTGGTTTCCTCCCAGGATGAAGTACGCTGGAGCCAGCAGCTTGGTCTGAGCCAGGAGCGTTTTGGCTTCCTCGTAGCTGGAGAGAACGTGAAAACACTCAATGTTGGTGCAGAGCCTTCATCACTCGACACAGGGAAGAGATATTCAGTCTTTATGCTCAAAGTCTGCATCCAGAGAAATCCTGCTTTAACGGTTAGTTCTTTTTAAACCATAGCTTTGAACATGTATTAAACATTAAACATGGGAATATGCCCTCAGATTGCAGTGTAATACAGTCATATTACATTCATTGTAAGTGCAATATTGTCAGTATTATCATTAAGTCAAATTGTGCTTATTTTTATCAATTTATTTTTCTCTTCTTGAATCTTTTTCTCTTATATAGAGAATAGAATACTATTTAATAATTAAAAAAAAGGGATTAAAGCTTTTTATTTTTGTTTGTTTTAAAAAAAGGTTACCCTGTGCCGCTTAGATTATAATCATTACTCTCATCAGACGTACTGTAGATATGCAATACTGTTTTGATTGTGTTGAATGGTTATACCAAACAGCTAGAACTCAATATACTAGTAGTAGTAGGCCTGTTAGCAGTAACACATATATAACACTCTGCAACAACAGTGGCCAAAAACTCCACAATGTTCCTTTAAGTATCAAAAGAGGATTCCCCCTCTGTGGGCCGAATAAAGGTATTCTTTCTGAGTCTGAATACCTGTTGGCCTTTTCCAGAACTGAGCGAGTGAGGAAGCTCATCCACATCCCATCTCTCTTTCCCAAGATCCACTCCAGGATTCCTGCATGTGAACACATTTAGATGACGACGAGAAGCAACAAAACAGAGACCTCATCTCTAAATGCAAAACAGATAATCACTCACCAATGTATCCTCCATCCAGGCTGAAGCGCTCGTTCATAGTGAGAGTGAACAAGTGCTAGGGAAAGAGAAGACAAATATGTTTCTTACATCCAGTGAGCAGGGAGTATATCCAACCCAGAACATATCGTTGGATATGAATAATGTTTAACGCATTCTAAGACTAATTGACTTACAGGCTTGATGCCAGTCAGCATGCCAACATATCCAGCGAAGTTTGTAGACTTGAAGACGGTCTGATTATTTCTCTTGAAGTCAAGGTTGACCACCAGAGGCTTCAGCTTCTCACTAATGATCCACGACTTGTTTTTCATGTCCCAGCTGTGAAGAGGAATCAGTCCGTCTCATGAGAGGTTGTTTTTCTTCTTTTTACAACATCAGGACGATCAAGCTTGAAATGTGTAATTTGGGGTGTTTACTTACCCCATAAATAATCCAAAATCCAGATTTCTGCCATGGATGAGGTTCCCTATAGGAGTGCAAATCCCAAAAGCATTTCAGTACCAATATAGAAATATAGAATTATTCTAGTAGTTTGTAAGATAAGGAAAAAGTTGTTAAATCATAATTTTCTCTTAATGACCCACCATTTTTGTCTTCTGCTACAACTGATGTGCACACAGTGAACACCTCATAGAAGATGTTGAACAAGACAACTTCACCTATATTTTAAAAATGAAGAAAGCAAAAGGCAAAGGTCAATGGAACTTTTTAAAAAGCAGTGATTTAATAGGATGAATGTGTGTTTTCTTACCAAGAGGAACCCCTGAAACCTCTGCGATTCCTTTCATTTCCTCACCAAAAGGCTTTGGGAATGTGTCCGCCATAATAGGCTGCAGAACATAAAAACACACTGCAGTCATAAAGCCTTCAATACAATACAAATATGGCAGTTATTCTAAGGAAAGCATTTCAGAGAGAAATAACTCACCAGCGTAATGTCCACCAGCTCTACCAGCCTCCCACTCGGAACAAAAGCATTAGCCAAGTCTCTGATGGCCTGAATCATGTTGACCAGCTTTAAAGAAGAGATCAAATGTTGAAAAAACAAGGGATATTTCTGTGAGTGATATAAAGTACTTGACAGCGCTCTTACATCTGTTTTCTTGTCAGTAATTATAGCCGTCCATCTCTTGCTGGGCGGGGAGTCCAGGTCCACAGTGTACCAGCTGACGGCTCCTTTGAACCTGATTAAAAAAGGAAAGCTGTCAAACTACTGAAGCCCGACGATACAATTTATTACATCCAACTCACAACATCACCAAGTAGACAGGGTTTATGTATTATGTGGAGGTAACATGCAGCAGCTGAAGGCTTACATTCCCGTTTTAGTTGAATCCTGGTTTAATCTAAGTGTGGAAACAAATAGCTTAAAAATAACAAGCATTTCAATCATTTAGCCATTCATTGATCCCAACAATCCCCACATTTCCTTTTTTCAGTTTCTCAGATGAGTTGATTTATTGCTTTTTGCATTTATTAAAAACAGTAGATTCAACAGTAGATCGTTGTATATTTATATTTTGGACTAACTACTAAATGAAAGCAATTGGAGATGGGGAACTTTATACATGTTTATCATTTATTGGAATAATGCCTCCCACATTCGCCAGCACGTTGAATACTTTTCAATTGCAGCATCTTTTGATCCCAGCTAATGTTGACACTTAGATTTACAAGAGGCAAGTGAAGGTAGCAGAGTTCAGGTATAATGCTGCGTTCATGGATACCAAGATAAGCGTTGCAAAACAAATCCGTGAGTCAATAACAGGTCTGGTTTAACAATGGACTTTACAGACTAAAGTCACTTACGTGGGACCCTTTGGTGGATACATGTCTGCCCGACAGTCTTCTGTATACTGTCAAAAAAACACATTTAAATAAAATATAAAAGGTTTCTGTGTGACTTCAGAGTAGAAACCTAAATCAAAGTAAC